CAATATTACACATTAATTAATTAATTTTTTTATTTCTGCACTTTCTAGTCAAAACAATATTGTAGCAAGAATAGCATTTTTGGGGAAAAAACCCCTTCATCTGCAGAAATGGAGAGTATTTATGTATATTGGAAAGGAAGAATTTGAACTTGTAAATGAAACCCAGAGACATATTATTTGTACCTAAATATTTTCATTTAGGTCACTTGTTGGTTTTCAGACTTTCGATAGATAGTTCTGAATGTCTTTAGCAATATGAAAAGTAAGTGAATAGAAGGTTCTGGTTTGCCTGTTGTAATTGAATATGATTGAGTCTTTATGACAATTCCTTTAAAGTGATATTTTTCTTTAAGCTTTTCATAGTAAAACTCAAGATTATGAAATAGGTAATGAAATTGTCCAATTATTGTATTTCAGAGACAAACTTTCAGTTAAAAGAAGCAATCTTTAGCCAAGCAAGTTTAGTTTTTTTTCTTAAAACCCATTAAACATGATTCAGGTCATTATGGCAAAGAAAGCATCTGCTAAGGAGTAAGCTTATTTCTTTTACAGTGCAATGAAAATATCCTACCTCCATGTCAGGATATTTTCCAGATGTATTTTTTTCTTGCACTTGCAAGATTAATTAGGAAAAAAAAAAGAAAATATTTTAAAGTACTTGGATTTTTTTGTGGGTTTTTTTGGTGTTGGGTTTCTTTTAAACCTCCATTGTGTAAGGATCAAATGTTTAAAAGCCATTGTGCACAACAAATTTACGTTTATCTCCTGATTTTCAGATATTTGTTGATTTTTCAAATATATATATAATGTACTGTGATACTTAGATTCCCTTACCCCAAATGGAACAAGTTTATATGGTTTTACCAACCCCTTATTTTTACAAGGAAAGCAGTATTGAACTGTGCTGTTATACTGGCAAGAATGATTATTTTTCCATGTACCAGAGAAGTTATTAAAAATGTCACCTAGTTTTGCTATTAATAACATTATTACAATATTTCAGTAGTGCTGGGTAGTCATAATCTTATGCATGGTTTTTTTAATAACTTGTGCAAACACAAAAATGCAGAGATTCCATACCCTGTGCTAAATCTAAATGGTCATATTTGATAAGACATGTTTTAAACACGTTTATGTAGATGAGTTGTGGAGAAAGTTGTATTCTCCTGAGTTGTGTGTCACTTAACAGTCTTTTGGAGTAAAAACTCCCTCCAGTGGCAAAAGTTTGACTGATCAAAGCAGCAACTGGTGTGTATAGGCCACTGGAGAAAACACTAGGTGAGTGAGTTTAGATTTTGAGTAAGGTACATCATTCTTAAGTAGAGAATGTGACAGTCTTCCTTCATAGTGCTTCCCAATGATACACAGAAAGCTTCTTTGTGTTTTACCAGAATACCATAAGATACTGAAGACTTGTAACTTAGGGTTATAAAACTGTTGCTAATAAAACAAGCATTTGTTAATTTCTAAAACAAACTATTTTGTATCATAAAGGAAATACTACATTTTGTATGTGTGTGTATATGTAAGTTTATTAAAATAGTGTTATATTTTACTGGGTATGGATAAAAATTTAACTATCATATTTTTATCTCCTGTTACAGAACAATGACACTGAAGATGAGGAGAGATTATGGAGAGATCTTATTATGGAGAGAGTGACAAAATCTGCTGATGCTTGTCTTACTGCTATCAATATTATGACATCCCCAAATATGCCTAAAGCTGTATATATTGAGGATGTAATAGAAAGAGTTATTCAGTACACAAAATTTCATTTGCAGAACACTCTCTATCCTCAGTATGATCCTGTGTATAGAGTGGATGCTCATGGTGGTTAGTATGTTTTGTTGTCACATGCATATCTTCAGTTGACGGGTGATCAAGAATGGTTTTAAAATTCTTTGGATCCAGAATTCAGAGCAATTATGAAAATATGAAATTCTTGCTTTCCAGCTGATTTTACTAAATAGTTTTTCTTCTTTAAGCAATTGCATTTACAAAGCTGTAGTCATGGAGTTATTTTGGAGACATTTTGTGAGGAATATGATCATCTTTCTAATATTTGATGAAAGTGAAATACTGAAAAATTAATAAAGAAATTTTTCATTTTCTAGGTGGTGTTTTAAGCTCTAAAGCAAAACGTGCCAAGTGTTCCACCCACAAGCAAAGAGTTATAGTGATCTTATATAACAAAGTTTGTGACATTGTCAGCAGTTTGTCAGAGTTGCTAGAGATACAGCTTCTCACCGATACAACTATTCTTCAAGTAAGTTTTATCATAAAAATTTGTCTGAGAATAGTATTTTTTTTCTTTCCTAGAGAGATTGTGAAATGTGATTGTCTCAATGACATGAAGTATGGCATCAGTACAAATGTTTGAATTCTTAGCATCAGTGACTATTTTGTTCTGTAGCATGTAATCTGCAGAAGAACATTTAATGTTCAAATTGTTAATGGCACTCATTCTACACTTAAGAAAAGTTTAACCTGATTGTATTAAAATATCCTTTAATAACTTTTTTTGCAAATAATATGAAGTAATACATGGTGTTGAATACTTTACCTGATGAATGAATAATCTGCTTGTGAAACTGTATAAATATCAGTTTGTTAGTCAAATATACTTAAAATAACTTCTTTCTGTTAATAGATATCATCTATGGGAATAACACCTTTCTTTGTAGAAAATGTCAGTGAACTACAGTTATGTGCCATCAAATTAGTGACTGCAGTAAGTCATTTTTAATTTGAAGTTTCATGTTCCTGTACTTCTGAGAGTTACTAGGGCATTTACATAGGCTGTATTTTTGCTGGTAGAGAATTGGAGTTTAGAACTATTTTTGTTTTTACAGTTTGGTATCATAATCTAGGAACAGTATTAAATCTACCTGAGCTCCTTCTATTTACAGAGTACTTTATAGGAAGAAATAGTCTACTTAAGCCAAGGAATTTGCTTCATTTCAGTTATGTTGTTTAAAGTATAAACACAAACCCCTTCCTCTTACTTGTTCTGTCTTGTCTTAAGAAATCTTAACAATGTGGTTTTCATTATCTCCTTTGTTAAGATTAGAATTTATGCAATGGTATAAGCTATAGAACTAGTAGGATAGTTCTATATAATATATAATTAGAACTATATAATAGAATAAGACCTTTTCCTCAGAAGAGGTGGCTATGTGAAAAATTCATTGAGCAGATAAAATAGGTATCCAATGCATCCAGACACAGAGGAAATG